GGTGTTGGTGTTTCAGTGGAGATGGAGATGGAGTCTGCACACCCTCTCGGTAAGCCTCCGAATCAGTCGCTCGAACACATCTATGGTTTCCGCCTGCAAGACTAGACATGCCGAGAAACCTGCCAGGACTAATCATGTGAAGTACCCACAGTAAGCTTAGCTCATACACAAGATGTGTATACCTAGACAAAGGTAATAGTGCATATGGTGCTAGCTCCTTGATGTATATGTATACTAACAGACTCCCTTAGTAGCACAAGTACTTCCTATTCTAAACACCTAATTTTACCAGTTTGCTTTGTGTTTTCTTGCTTCGACAGACGATCAAGAAGCGGCACTCTCGTCCGATACTGCGCGCGAATGATTATTTGATACACACCGCTACCAACGCATCGACTCTACTGCGACATAACAAGGTTCTACTACTTACAGAATACATGATGGTAATTTGCGTTATGAACGCTAGTGTGCCATTTCATCGCGACTCGGACTTCTTGACCAGCCACCCAGCAAGACAGCTCATTTAGAAGAAACACAGCAACATCACCATGAAGCCGAAGTGATTTAAATTTGAGAATATTCGCTTGGCCCATACAATACATCGTCTGTAACTGGCCTGAAAATAACTGTCAAGGCTGACAGCTATCTGTGCTGGGCTCGGGCGCACCGGGGTGTTGTTAAGCGCAGATACCATAGAAGCTTTGCCCTAATGCTTGGATGACGCCGCAAAAGCCTTCATAGTAATGTATGGTCTGTCTCCAACTTCTAACTATGATAGTAACAGCCTGAGTGCTTTCGAGTACTCAATACCTCGAATCATCAGCTCTTCACCAAAACATGGAATCGTTTTCCGGTTCTCCAAGTATCCAGGCTCATTGGTGGATTATCTCATCTCACCTTCCCCAAACTTCCCCGGTTTTTCTGCATAGGCCATCCCCGCGTTTACGAACTGAGATCTACCGTAATAACAGGTATTGGTCGGAAATTCAACTAGAAGATTACTTCCAGTTAGTGTCACTCCGAATTCCCGGAACTATGATGATCATTCGGAACATGGTAAACTATGATAGCCGCAAATGTATGAGACCGAATCCCTTTATAAGGGGTACCAGCCAAGCCTCAAAGCGTACCATAGCAGATCGAATCTTGTACTTCAAACTCCCAAGATGCGATTGGTGATGATATTCGCTGGCATCCTCCAGGTGTGTGCTGCTATACCAGCAGTCAACCGAAAAGCATGCCAGTATCCTACCCAGAAACCTCTCGACGGGTGTCCAAAAAACACTCTCCTCGTCGGCCCAGGAAGCAACTTCTCAACCATCCAATCCGCCGTCCTAAGTCTCCCCAATGACAAAAACCCCTACAACATTCTCATCCTCCCCGGCAACTATACCGAACAAGTCAACATCACGCGGCCCGGCCCCGTCTACCTCCTCGGCCAAACCGCGCACCCAGAAACCCGCACCAAAAATACTGTCAACATCCTCTGGCACAACGCCACGGGCGCCGGCCTCTCCACCCTCGACAACGCCTACACCTCCGTCCTAACCGTCGCCCCAACCTTTAACGCCAGCCTCACCGGCACAGGCCCTACCGGTTTCCCCGTCCCACCCAACACCCCCTTCGGCAACACCGACTTCCGCGCCTACAACCTAAACTTCACAAACGACTACCTGCCCTACTCCGCCGGCCCTTCCCTCGCAATCTCCGTCAGCTACGCAAACACAGGGTTTTACTACTGCGCTTTCCACTCCTACCAAGACACCCTGTACATTGGCAAACTCGGCAACGCATACATCTACGATTCCGAAATTGCCGGGCAGACCGATTTCCTGTACGGCTTCGGCACCGCGTGGATCCAATCTAGCCTACTCACTTTGCGGGGTTGTGGCGGCGGAATCACCGCGTGGAAAGGCACCAACACGACGTTTGAGAATCGGTACGGGGTGTATATCCACGATTCGGAGTTACGAAAGGAAAATGCGACGTTAGCGATTAAAGGCAAGTGTGCGCTGGGACGGCCGTGGAATGCGTTGCATCGGTCTATCTTTGCGGATTGCGAGATGGATGATTCGATTTTGCCGGCGGGGTATATACAGTGGAATGCTGGGGATCCGCGGATTGGGGTTAATACGACCATGGCGGAGTATAAGAATTATGGGCCTGGATGGGATGAGGCGGCACGGAGGAAGAGTAATGTTAGTGTTGTTATGGGGGAGAGGGAGTATAGGGCGTATAAGAGGGTGGAGACGGTGTTTCAGTATCCGTTTTCGGGTGAGTTTGGGAATACGGCGTGGATTGATCGGAATCCGGGGCAGTAGATGGGGGTTGAGTGATATAGGAGCAAAAAGGTTAGTCCGTTGTGTTAGGATCGAGGATACTTTGTGTTCAGAACTATAAAAGTCTTGGAGATGTACGATGACAGAACGGCTCATGAGCAAAGACCCGCAACTCAGGATCAGTAACAGCTTATTTCTTACACATTAGTAATAAAACGACTCAAGCTTCTTTAGGTACAGTTTTGACATCCTTCCATTTGAGCCCTTCGGGCAATATCTCCCACTGCTGCTCCTCATCAAGCAGCGCTTCCATCTTCGCCCATTCCTCTCTAATCAGCGTAACCTTCTCCTTGTTTCTCGGCGTAATACTAGCCGGGAACGGCTTTGGCTGGGAAAGCGTTCCTTCTGTCAAATTTTCCGGATCGGGAATGATTTCTTCGCCAGCTTCATCGCGGGCAGGGCGAAAGTCAAAGGCCCAAAGGAGGCGCGATATGGCCAGGAATAAGGACCGTTCGGCAACATGCATGCCCTGGCACACACGGCGTCCAGCGCCAAAGCCAAAGTGATCGCGCTTCGTGGGATCGGGATTGTTTGCTGACTCTGCGGCGGTTGACTGGTCATGGATGTAGCGTGTTGGGTCGAAGCGGCGGGGGTCGGGATGCCGTTTGGGGTCGTTGTGGATGGCCCAGCTGTTTGGTAGGACGCCTGCACCTTTTGGAATCGTATACCCCATATATTCGTCATCACGGATTAGTCCGTGCGGTGCCCCTGAAATGACTGTTGGCATCCATCGTAAGGTCTCCTTGATGCAGCCGTGGATGTACGGTAGATTTGGCCAGTCCTCGAGCGTAGGAAGTCTATGGCCACACACGCGATCGAGTTCTTCTTGAGCAGCTTTTGCTACCTCTGGGAACAAAATCATAGCTTGAGTGACTTTGATATGTTAGTTTGGGATAAGGGGCATGGAGAGAGTACGTACAGCTAACGAGCTCTGCTGCCGTTGTGTCGGAGCCAGCTTCAAGTATCGAACCGCTAATGTATGCAGCGAGCTCATCTGAGATATTCTCTTCTTCTTGAGCGCGTACCAGATCAACACAGAAACATGGTTTCGCAGTTCCATTCTTGATGGCCTTCTTGACGTCTAGCCAGAGTCCAACAAACAATTCGCTCGATTTCTCATGTAGCTGCTTGGCGTGCCTCCTCTCAGAAAGCACAGCATCTGGCAGTGATCGTAGTACGGGGTACAGATCAAGCAGTGCTGCACTCGTTTTACCATGTACCTGAGAGAACTTTTCAATTCCCTATAGTAGCGTCAGCGAAAGTTGCATGATCCTATGCACTACTTACCCAGAAGAGCTGCTTCAGCTTGGGATCATCAATGCTAGGAGTCCGAAAACCGAAGACCATCTGTGTTGTCAGACTGTGAGTGTAGCGCCGGAGGTGATCGATGAACAACTCTGGTATGTCTAGTAGTTCAACAAGCAAAGCTTTGCTTTCAAGATCTTGATATGGCACATAGGACTTTGTAGCCGTGATGTTGAGATTATTGTGTACGATCTTGCGGATCATGCGCCACGGGTCGCCATAAGGCTGGGTATGTCAGCATGTCTGACATTAGAATGAATGTTCAACGTACCATCAGTGCGAAGCGAAGACCCCCGCTTGCTACCTGAGCAAGATAATGGTCAGGGCGTGATGAGTAGATTGCGCTCCTTTTATCTAAAAGATCCTTGACAGCTTGATCCGACGCAAGAACGATCAAGGTCCATGTGCCAAGCATGAGCGAATAAACCGGACCATATTCTTCTGCCCACTTCTTGAACTGCAGATGGGTCTTCTCCTTTGGCATAAGATGGAGGTTGCCAATAAGTGGTAGAGTAGGGGGTCCTGGTGGATATCCTTTTGGCCTTTGACCAACTTTACTTAGCCGATAAGCGGCTGCAGCGAGTAGAGCCGCGAATATCGCATAGGGTACAACATCCATTGCGACAGATGACAGAGTTCCGGAAGCTCATCCAGACGCTACGAAGGAGCTTGGAGAAGCAGTGCAGCAAGAAACTCTAGTTATATCATAACTTTCGTACCACAACCCTTCCGTCAGTGGCGGGGTCAATGGTAGCGCCGAGGCTGCATCACTGCCCAAAATAGACAGAGTTGCTGAAGTTGAGTGTGGAGATGTGGAGTGTAAGCATTGGCGGGCAGGGTATTACTACTTACTCAGCTCGCCTATGTTCGTAGGCTCGCACTTGGCTGCTCTAATGCGCCTAGTGATACGGAAGCTGAACATGCAAAACTCCGTCATGAATCGTGTTACATCGAGTCCTTTTGCAATTACTTCAAATCCTTCAGTTGATGTAATAGCAAATCTGACATAGGTTGAGGTACCCTCCCGCGGAGTTGCAGAGGTTATAGGAGACGTGAACATTTCTCTCCACCATCTCCACTTGTATATGATTTGCATACGAGAGTATGGCCAAGAAAATATAGATAACGAGACGCAGCACGTGAGATCGATAGTGAGATAGCAGGCAGCAGCAACGCTGATATTGGGCTTACGCCAAGCCTTCGGATTGAAGCAAACATAGGAAATCACATGGGCAGTGATTTTTTACTCAGCAGCAAATCTACTGGCAACTCCTTCGCAAAGCGCAAAATCAATAAAGTGAGCAGCAAAGAGTATATGGCAAGATTAGAGATTACAAATTACGAACAGTAGTAAGGAAAAGAACATATGGTAATTTGCTGACCACAACGTGACACAAGAGTCTTCTAATTGATATGATATTCAATTCTCCGCGGTTTGATTCACCTGTCTTATCACCAACCATTGCCACTTTTATCCTCATGTGCAAAGTCGGAGGGAAACAAGGGGGGTGTTCAAGTGCCCAAGGAATGAGTGAAACCAGTAAAGAAAAAGAAAAACATTAGCCAGGTACCAGCTGCAAGCTTCTTGAGTCACCCAAAAGAAGCAAGCAAAAAAAATGGTCATGCATCGGTAAAAAAGAAACATGTCCGCGGCTTTGCAAAAAAAAAGAAATTGGCATGGCACATCAAATGCCGGGGTACTAAACAAAGGTATCAAAACGGGAGAGGAATAATTACAAGACCAAAAGTCCCAAAACAGCAATGACAATGGCACACACGGAGCCACTCATATGAGAGAGACCCGGTTGAACCGTTGTCGCAGCGCCCGTAGAACCAGTGCTACTTCCACCTTGCACAAAGGCACCTCCGCCAGTTGAGCCTCCGCCACTACCTCCCGACGCTGCGTCCGTAGGCTGCGCGTTGGCACCCGGTGCAGTTGGGCCAACAGTCTCACCAGCGTCGTGTCCCGCGCCGCCTCCAGGGTTGCCACCAGGTACCATAGCCACGGATGCTGATGGTTTGGCGCTGCTCCCGCTCTGTACCGCCTCGCCTGGATCCTCGCCAGTACCCATAAGGGAGCCCAGGATAACCTCGTCGTCGGTAATCGCAACCGTGTTGTTGGTTCCAGCCTTATCCGTGTACTTGTATGTCTTCTTTCCCTTGATCTGCGCCTGCGGCGGGGGGTCGTAGCACTCGATTGTGACTTCCGAGAAGCGGGCCGCGTAGTAACCGTTGACCATGTATGGGCTGTTCCAGTCAATCTCACCACCTGCCCACTCGACAGTACCTTTGGCATTGGTAGGGAGACCGGCGGGCCAGAGGGAGAGCATGACGCGCGCAGGAGTTTGTGGGTAGTCGAATCGGCCCGCAGTGCTGTTCCATGTATCGCTGCGTTGGAGCTTGCGCAATTCCTTGTCATCAACGGACCAAGTGAGCGTGTCTTCTGTCCAGTCGATACAGTATTTGTGCTCTTTTTCGACTGCATTGCCATTGGGCACTGTCAAGTTTTTGCCGTTGGTGTCTGGCATCTTGTTAGTTTCCTTTTGCAAAGCCGAACAAAAGGCAAGGGGAAAACTCACAGACTGTCACGCCCTGGGAGTAGTAGTTTGATTGGACGTTGTTGATATCAGCACCAACCCACTCAAAATCGATTTCATCTTTGACGTCCGACATGAGAATGAAGGCGGTCACGACACCCTTGCCCTGTGCACTGCTGACCTTGGAGCAGATCTTGCCGTACCAGACATAGTGGGTAGATGCCAACAGTGTTCCACTTGATCCTTGGGCCATGGTCAAGAGCGTTGCCTTCTTGCCCGTGTCGGGATCAGTGTATGGAGTAGGGTCGCCCTGCGACTGCCAGTTGATCTTGGAGGCATCGCCGAGGTATTTTTCAATTCGTTGAACGTCGTCAAGGTTGCCGAGCGAATAGGTTCCGGATTTGCATACAGGGCCGGGGACGCAAGAGTCAAAGGTATTCGACATGAGCGGGTCGCATCCACCGAGGCAGAAAGCGCCGACACCGCAATCGCCATAGACTGCATGGCTGTTAGCATGCAATCGCTTAATTTGTAAGATTGAAGGACGCACGCGAGCAGCAGGGCGTTTCTTTTGGGCAATGGCTATCCTTTGTGCATTTGGCACCGGCTGCGTTGGCGAAGCCTGCAAACGCTGCAGCAGCAATTGCTGCAGAGAGGACGGCTCGGACCATGGTTCGGACTCTATTGTGCAGTTGTCGATATCGTGATGGTAAGCTGACGTGCAGTAGAGTCGGACCGCGGTCAAAAGGTTATCGCAAATGTTCGTGGGGAACGCTTTTCCAGGGTTTTGGCGATAACGACTGTAAGCACGATGGCGATCCGCGTGAAGGCCCGTTCCGAGAGAAAAGGTGTGGAGAGGAATACGACGATTAATTAGTCTCCTGGCTATCCTATGGCCCCGTTTCGTGTAGCGAGCGTTGGTGGCAGATGCAAAAAAGAAAGAAAGCACAACGGCGGGTTAGTAAAGCGAGAGTGGTCCCGAGGGGAGAGAGGAGTAGAGAACGGGCATGAATGGGCGGCCAGCTTCCTCTTGAAGAAGGGGTTACTCTGGGGTACGAGGTGGCGCATCAATATGGAATTGCGCCATTCCACATGCGGCCTCTGACTAGCCGCTTGAATCGGCCGATAAATCCCTTAAGTATTAGCGACCCAGCCGTCCACGCCAGCAGCCCGTCCGAGGCCATCGACGCTGCCAATGGCGAGCGGCGCGTTTCGTCTTTGGGCGGATGACTTGCCTTGGACACGGCACATTACATACCGACGGATTTGGACGTTTTTGTGCTGCAGTGTCATTGCCACCCTGCATTGGTTTCCCCGATGCAGATACTGGCCAGAGTACCACTAGCGCCTTCACAATCGATACGCCCTATGTTTGGAACACCCTGCAGCAACACCCGAGCCGTTCCACCTGCATCCCTGCCATCACGCTTGAATGTCCAGGCCTTCGACTTCTAGACGACGTCACTACGAGTGTCACACACGGTGCGGTTGCGGCCATCGTGAGACCTCGTCTCAGTTTTGCGGGTGTTGAGTTTCTGTCTTCTGGCCGGATCTTGGTCGAAACGAGCACGTGCTTAGCCGAGGAGTACGTGTGCGTTATATCCCATGACCTGCAAACCTTGCAGTACATACAATAGCGCTGCCATGCAAGCACGCCAACGCCGTCTCCTCGGCATATTTGACACATTACCACTAATCAAGCTAAAGTTTCAAAACAGAAACAACAGTCGGCTCACATGCCGCACATGTTACGAAAAACGAAGCCTCAAGACACTACAATTTAGATACTTACCCCTTGGGAATGTCTTCATGGTTGCGCCCACGTGAGTATCTGAATAGCGCCGAGTCTACCATAGTATCCTCTAAGACCAGAACTATCTTTGAGGCTTCCAGCACCACAGTAAATGCGTCTTCCCCGCACTTCATCCCCATGCTCTTGGTGGACCAAAATACCCGGATTAAAACTGACCCCACCGAAATAGCGCAACATCAATACGAGGCAACTACCAGCTAGTATCACACAACTACACGATTTTTCTTCTTGTAGTATATTGATCTGCATGTAAGCTTTTAGCACTCTAGTACATAGAACTAACTTTGTAAGTAAGTGGTAGTAGAGGCAGCTAATCGCAAACAGCGGCTTTATTTCGATTGGGCCTACTTTCTATTACAGTATTTTACTTAGTCAACCAGAGCCCGTACTCTAGGTTCAAGAATCCACTGCGGGGGATACAGTAGCTTTCCTTGGCCGGGGTTGAGGCATTGACCAAGGCCCAACCCACCCTGGTCTGTTCTATAGTGAGAGAATAGATAAAGATGGTAAAGGCTTTGACAAACTATCTATTTCATAGTTTCTTTGAGATTTTTTTGGCTTCGTGGCTTGGATATTGTTAGCACACATGCACGTTCAGTGCTTGGCCAACAACTAAATTGTGTACAGGTGGCATCATGTAGACTCAAAAATTAATTACTAACTAGAAAAGGAGGATATCATCGATGCCATTCTATGGGAACTGGCACTGCGATCGAGCTGTATCTTTGGCAGTTGACGTGCCTGGCACACTAGAGAAGAATTACATGAATGATAAAAGTAAGTGTTACAGTGCAATAGGCAACTTCATCACAGTGACTTATCCTTGGGATGAGTGCAAGAAGTCCTAAGATTCTTTTGTATTCTGAGCCCCGACGATACTATATATTGAGTGGGAAAGAACATCTCCTGGTCATCTATAAATCGTAAGCTGAGCGCCACATGATATAGGTTACCTTTGCAGCGCCGGTCTTGAGTGAACGCATATTATATGTCAAGATTGAGACGATTAAAATAAGAACGCTTACATGAACTTTCAATAGACGTATGTTCTGCAAGCATCCAAAGCACGTGACTTATGATTCATAGCCACAATAATAGCCTCCATCAACGTTCACTTGCCACTCATTGGATATGAGCTATCGAACCATGCACAATGAATCGCCGTATGTGAAAATCATCGCACCGGGGCCATACCGGCCCCTGTTCGGCAACCCAAAGATATCTCGCCAGCCAGCCTCGGTACTTTGTCCGCGCTTATCCCTTTCCGAACTTGCTCTAACGCTCTACCCACGACTCTCAACCCACACTCAAACCCCAAGATCGACGCGTTGACTCTTCACATTACAATCCTGAATGTCATACCTCCTCCACGGCAGCACATCTTATACTGGAATGGGCTGGGTCGACCTGGTACCCCGCTGCGGTCGTATCTACATTGGCGGCTTATACGCTTTGTACCAGACCGACCTCATCGAAGCAGCTGGCATAACGCATGTGCTTTCAGTCATCGATTACGACGCATTGCTACAGGAGAAATTCCGGCACCTAAGACATTTCCATATTCGTGCCGAGGACCATCCAAACACCAATCTCCTGCAGTTTTTCGAGGGTGGTGTCAACTACATCGATGAGGCATTAGCCTCTTCCCCGCTGACTCCTAGCGAGGCTCAAGCCACGGACGCTAAGATGTCACCCTCAAAAGGGGGCAATATCGCCCCCGGGGGTGGCGTATTCGTGCACTGTGCAATGGGCAAGTCACGATCCGCCACTCTTGTCTGCGCGTACTTGATCTGGAAATACAATATCTCCCCTGAAGCGGCGTTGGAGCAGTTATGTGAGGGAAGGCCGATTTGTGATCCGAATCCTGGCTTTAAAGAGCAGTTGGAGGTTTGGAGCACAATGTGCCGTGCTGGTAGTGAGGAAGAGAAGAAGGGGATATACGAGCGCTGGGAAAAGGATCGATTCACCGGGGAAGTATGGGATTGGGAGACTCGAGTGAAGCAACAGGAAAGAGAGAAAGTAACGAGTCATCAAGCTTCGAAGCTTTAGACATTGATGAACTACACATTGTATGGACGGGCTAAAAGAAAGAACGAAAGCGTCCCATCGACTCGGGCTCATGCTTTGAACGACGTTGCAGCTTTGTTCTTTGGTCGAAACAGGGCAGCCACTCTTTCAGAGCTTTCTTGAAAAGATCCTGGCTCTTCACTGAATCGGGGATGATATTGTAATCAAGTCCCGGTGTGTTGAAATCAGACGCGTGGACCCCACATTTTATCAGCTTACCAAACAACCTATCTTTCCCAGTACTCTCTCCGCATTTGGGAATCTCCTGCGTAATCTCGACTTTTGGAGCGCCAGGTCGTTGAGAAAAAGGACCGGTAGGAAGCCAAGGATCGAATTCTCCACCTGACCAGTATGTGTTTGAAGGGCGAATGTGCCATCCTCCCAAGGCCTTATTGAATTCCTGCACTTTAGGCCATTCTGGGAATACAGAAGGCGGTGATTTGTCGAAAAGTTGATGGCAGGCATCGCGCTGTGACTCTAAAGTTTCATACTTAGAAACTAACTGGTAAGGTCCAACATTGGCTGATTGAAGGTACCCTGTGTTTGGTCAGTACTAGCTAAGAATATCGAAGAGGCGGTTGAGACATACCCCATTCAGTGCAAGCCTGCCATCTCCAGGAAAGATAGTTAGGGTCCACCGTCTGAACATCAGACGAGCAATTGTTTGAACTTGTCCCATTGGTTGCGCATTGCGCATCCGAATCCTGAATCACAGTCTTGGAATAATCGGGGTAGACAGCCCACTTGTCCACCACCGATTTGGCACCCTTGGTCGGAGCCCAGCCATCCTTTGGTGCCGTTTGGTTCGTCTTAGGATCCGTCTCTAACATATCACAGAATTTCCGGAGGGAGAAACGGTAGCCGTCCATGTCATATATCTGCCAGTCGCTATAGAAAACGTCAAATGTCCCGACAAAATCCACATTCGAGATGTTTGCACTGCCAATACCGAGAAATTGTTCTTTCAGTTTGGCAGTAGCTTGTGGGTCCGTGTCCATGATGTGGTCTATATATCGGATCGCAGCTTGTATGTCCCGAGTACAGTTGCCAAAGCCTCTGGCATTCATTCCAGTCCATACTGCATCGGCATAGTAACTCATGTCGACCATGGCCTCAACGGTAGCTGCCGCGGCCCAGGATGCATATATAGTATCTGGGTATTTGTTGCGCACCCAAGCAGCTCTTCCTCCTGAGTACGAGGCACCAATAAAAACCCACAGCGTGTGATCGGCAGTGAGCGTCGCGTTGATATATGGCAAACTGAATTGCTTCGCAAAAGCGTCAACATCCGCAAGTGCCTGTGGGACAGTCAAATATTTGAAGCGGTCCAACGACGTATCATTGAAAAAGTTTTCGGGTACCGACTTGCCATACATTCGGTGTTCCCAGGCAATGCCGATACCATTGAATTCTTCCAAGATCTGGTTGAAGAAGCTACGTGGGTCGCTCAGAAAAAATGCGCTGCTTGGCTCAGCATCGCTTTCGCCGGTGTCATAGATGAAAATGGGACCGCCTGATTTGTATTTTTCCGAATAGACCCAGTATCTGTTGAGAAATGTACCCGCGTCCGATCCAAAATGATTAAGAGGGAGTTCGACAGTCCTCGCATCGACTGGTGGGGGTTGAGTATCCCGTGAATTAACGGATTTAGAACTTCCAGTGCCTAATCCAAGGCCCATGTAGTCCGAAGGGGGCCGGGTCTGCATGCGTGCATGCAAAGCATTTGACCCTTGCCCCAGCGCAAGCATGAGCGCTGCTGTCGATGCCAAAGACCACATCGTTCGTAATAAGGGACCTAAACGAGTGAAAGAATTAGATAAAACGAACCAATTGGTCCGATGATAACGAGTGAAATCGAATCCTCACGGGCCCGGTGCGGATTTTCGAATACCGCGACAAACGAGCCATCTTCGAGGAAAGTTAAAGCCGACAACTCCATCTTACATATAGATTGCAAAAGAGGGAATGCAACCTCAGTTTACTCCTATTCCAATTGCGGGATCAGAAATGAACTCTCACATAAGCTTCGCTACCGTGCTGACACCTCACAAGTCGAAAACGCCTGTTATCGTCCGGGCAAAGCCGCAAGGGGTCCCATCTTCCACCCTGCACTGGCAATCAACATGCCTTGAAATAGAAGCAGGAGTATTATGGTGGTAGGCCAAAATTGTGTATATAGGCTATTTGGTAAGAGCGTGATGCAGGTTGGGGTCGTGAGTAAGGACTATACTACACGCCGAATAGCATCAGTTAAGATTGCTAATTATAGCCTGTTAACATTTCTCCCTAATAAGTTGCCGGTAGAGCTATTCCATGTAGATCTTAATCATCGTTTTTGCTTCTAGAAATATATACGAGGGTTCCGCCGGTAACCGCAGTAGATCGCTGACAAGCGTTACGAAGTAACGCTTATCAGTATTGGTTGCGGATGGCAGATCTTGGCCACGCTCCTTGAGAACCTTATTGTGCAATGCGGCTCTCGGATAGATCGATGCGCATACTTGGATAGGTTTTGGCTTAAGCGCTGGAGGAGCATTGATGCTAAATTTACCATTGGAAGTGCAGATCTATGTCTGATGATCTCTACCTTGCCAGAGTAGATATGTATACGAGTGTCGAAATTTCTGAAATTTGCATAAAGAATACTAAGATGCATCGAAGTATCTATAGGCCTTGTAGGAGATTCGTGAACAAACAGCATATGACTTTAGAAGGAGTTGGGCCAATAGCGCCAGCGCATCCATCTCTGTTGTAGGACCCAAATCCCCAAAGTCAAAGCTGTTAAGGGTATCGCAAATGCCCAATAAATCCAGAACCTCTCCGATACTGACCACTTGCCTGCCGCACCATCTTGAGGCGGTGTGTAATTGAAAAAGCTCATGCTGAAAACAGCCTACGAATGATTAGCAGAAACTTGACATTGACGTTGGAAATTCCCACAGAGATGAATGTCGGTGGCAGGAAGAACATGGTAACTACAGCAATGGTTCTCATCACACCGCTATCTTCTTTTGCTGCCTCTCCGATTCTAGTCATGATCTGACTGTCACGCTTTGTGATCATGTTGAAAACCTGGTAGCATGTTAGTAATATCGTTTCAAGGGAATGACTATCCATGGCTTACATATGCAATCTCATTTTGCAACCGCTCCTTGTTTGATTGGGCTCGTAGGTGAAGATTTCGAAGCATGCGAACCTGCAAGTCGAATTGCTTATCGATCGACTCAGCTAAATCTTGTGCATCCCACGACATCGACTGTGATCGCCTCGATTGGCTCGCGATTTGGTGCTGAATGCTGCTCAGAGTGTCAACTGCAACATTGAGAGTCTCTAACGAGTGGATGGCATGTCTCGTTACTTCGTGAAGCAATGTAAAATGGGCTAAGCCGCGATTTGAAAGCGCACGGCCCTAAGATATGCCGTGTTAAACCCATAAATATGCTGTATAGATAAAATCGCTTACCTTTTCGGCGCTCCGCACGAGATCTCGAATCAACCACACCGATTGGTCAAACATTATGACAAGAACCTCCATCAGTGGCACTAGCAAGCAGCCAGGCTGTGATCCTTGTATATCAGGCCATATCTGGTGCAGCTTTTCTTGCAGACAGCTTTTGAATGAAGCATCTACTCCCAAGCACAAAACTGAGCAGTTCTTCGAATCCCACCGGCAGCAAAATGTCATCTCCTGCCAGTGATAGGACATACTGCTGCGACCAGTAATAATCTTGATTAGTACACGGAACCACATGTCTAGGGAAAGTCAGTTGAGTTGATGCCCAAGTTCCACCTGCTCTCACAGCATGATTCGCGCTGGCCATTTTGACCTCGCGATTCCTTGAAAGCAAAGAATCCATTGGAGCGCCTATATATGTCGGCCAGGAGATACTGGGGTATTTGAAAATATTGAATCAGCTCTGGCAGCACTTTTCCGCTGCCACTGTCGGAAAATGGATCGTCCTGTATAAAGCTGGGATCTGGTCAATGTGGATCGTAACTTTCTGGAAGAACGACAAAGTACAGATACTGTTTTTCGGGATTATCTTGATCCTATTATAGTATTTAGCGTGGGATACAGGAACGCAAAAGAAGTATCATACGCGGAGACAGTGATCCAATCGTTCAGTATGTGAGTTCCAGCATCCGGCGGCTAGGCAACAGTCAATTCATTTCTTCTAAAGTGTAACGAACATTCTCACATAACCTAATTAAATCGATCGTATTCATTGGAGGCTCACGAGAATTTGACATGCTCGTAGAGAACATAAAGATAGGTAGAATGCCGCTTGCTCCAGTCAACCTGTTATAAATTTGCCAAGGCCAGATGATGGGCTATGCCACCACGAAGCGCCACACCAGCGTATGCGCAAAGGGCGGTAGATGCATGGGAAAACCGGTCAGTTGTGGATGCGCATCCATGGTGTGCGAGGCTGCCCAATGAACAATTCGATAGAGCCTTCGTCGCCTGCTAGCGCTGATGGCGCAGCTATCCCTACCAACCACAGCCTGGGTGGCCGTGCCGCCTCCTGCATCACGCTGTTGGCTGTGTGCAAAAGCGTCTTTCAGCTCGCCAAGAGATTATCCATGGGCTGGGCAATATACTGGATACTTGCTGCGACGGGTTCCGCATCTGTTGAATTTCTGTGTGCAACTCTTTGCACTGTTGTCTGTTCCCCACTACTACTTCGTCACAGATTCACATCCATGTTTAGTATCTTCTAGTAGCTCTCGCAGACCAACGTATCTTTTGACAGAATTTCTGGACCGAAATGACTGCAAATGTCACGTCAGCCTCGCCGCGAAGAGTACACTGTAGGATGGGTATGCGCACTGCCCATCGAGTCCGCAGCGGCGAGATCGATGCTAGACGAAAAGTATTACACTCCCGATCCCAAACCAGGCGAGAAGTGGGATGACATATATTTCACGGGTTCGATCGCCGGCCACAATGTTGTTATCGCCTGCCTCCCAGGGCGTACTGGAACGAATTCCGCAGCTACGTTGGCAACACGGATGCAAGCCAAGTTCCAAGGAATCAGATTTGGACTCATGGTAGGCATCGGCGGAGGTGTACCAGGCGGGCAAGCAGATATTCGACTTGGAGATGTTGTTGTCAGTGCACCACAAAAGACCTTCGGAGGGGTAGTACAATACGATATGGGAAAGACGACACCAACAGACATCATAAGAACAGGAAGCTTGGACTCACCACCCCAGATCTTGCTTAGTGCAGCAGGCGCACTAGAATCTGACGCTTTGATCGGCGAGAGCAAGTTGCTCAACATACTCTCAAAAACCCAGCATATCCCTTCTTTGCGGCGGTGTGAATCTAGTACAGATGTGCTGTACGATGCGTCCTACAACCACGGAAACGATCCAACTTGTGAGAATTGTCGTTCCGATAAACAAGTGGTCCGCTCCCAACGCAGAAGAGGAGAGGAGGTAGTAGTGCATCACAGAACCATCGCATCAGGCAACCAGGTGATGAAGAGCGCTGCTGAAAGGGACAAGATCAGCCAAAACCTCGGTGGTGTTCTATGCTTCGAGATGGAGGCAGCCGGTCTTATGAACAGCTTCCCCTGCCTTGTCATCCGTGGCATCAGCGACTATTCAGATTCGCATAAAAATGACCAATGGCATGGTTACGCCGCCGCGACTGCAGCTGCCTATGCTAAAGAACTTCTTTCAAGGATCCCACCAGCTCATGTTATGAGAACTGCAAGGGTAGAAGACGTGATCAAAGATACGAGAAGTTAGTGTCAGAAGCCTTTTTCTTTGGATTTACAGTTCGTAATAACCTTTTCACAGAACGTGACGCGCGGTCTTCAAGCCCCACTTGTGAGTCTTCGAAACGTAGGAAAACTGAGGACCCCAGTGGTCGGGTGCCTGAGCTCGAAGGGTGAGTCTCCTACGTCTATAGTCACTCACGTTTTGTGCACACAAGCTGATTTCTCTAGGCGAGAAATTGTCGTACGTATGTGGAATTACTACCACCGACATCCGATAGAATCTCAATTGATCGAATCAGTACAGGAACGAACCCGACAGCCACTGAACGAAGATCGATTCCATCATCCGCAAAATGAAGACTCAACACGCGGGACACTGAGCGACGAGCAAAAACAACAGCTTCTAAAGTCACTAGAATTTGACCAGATTGACGAACGGAAGAACACAATCAAAAGGGCTCATACGAAAACATGCAAATGGCTCTTGAAAAGCGCGCCTTATCTAGATTGGCTTGAAACTACGAAGAGAAGCGAGCACCACGGATTTCTGTGGATCAAAGGGAAAGCTGGAGCAGGAAAATCCACGCTCATGAAGTTCGCTTTAGAAAGAGCACCCAAGGAATTACAAGGCAGCTCGACACTGTCTTTCTTCTTCAATGCACGGGGGAGCACAATGGAGAAGTCTACAACAGGAACCTATCGGTCATTGTTACTGCAGCTTCTTACGGGATTTCCAAAGTTGCAGAACGTCTTTAGCTCGCTTTATTCATCAACAGCAGAGTTTGATGCAAATCGCGAGTGGAGTGTGGAATTGCTCAAAGTGCTTCTAGAAGAAGCTATCCTGATGCTCGGGAAGGCTCCCGTTATATGTTTTATCGACGCGTTGGATGAATGTGACGAAACAGAGATTCGAGACATGATCCAGTTTTTCGAGCATATTGGGGACTTGTCAACAGAAAAGGATTTACGTTTCTTTACCTGCTTTTCTAGTAGGCACTATCCTCACATCACTATTCGCAAAGGAATAGAATTGGTGTTAGAAGGGCAAGAAGGCCACAATCAAGACATTATCAATTACATTGGGACTGAGTTGAAGATTGGAAAAAGCAAAAGAGCACAGAAAATCAGGGACGATGTTCGAGAGAAGGCAGCAGGTATCTTCATGTGGGTCGTTTTAGTTGTTGGCATTTTAAACAAAGAATCGGATCGGGGCCGTGTCGATCGGCTCCAGCAAAAATTGCACGAGATTCCCAGCGACTTACACGACCTATTTCGCAATATTCTCACCCGAGACTCGAACAACAAGGAGCAATTAATACTGTGTATTCAATGGGTGCTCTTTGCAAAACAGCCGCTCAGTCCTGAGCAGCTATACTACGCTATACTTTCTGGCATTGACACTGATGCTGTATCCGCATGGGATCCCGACGAAGTCGATCAAGATGCAATCAAGAGGTTCATACTTGATTCTTCAAAAGGCCTTACCGATATTACTGCCTCCAAAAATCAGAAGGTCCAATTCATACACGAGTCAGTTAGAGACTTTCTGCTCAAAGAAAATGGACTGGCCAAGATCTGGCCCGAATATCAGCACAATTTTGTAGGCCAAAGTCACGACAGGCTCAAACAATGTTCCTGGGCGTATATTAACATCTTCCTACATCAGTCACTACTTGTGCCTGAGATTCTCTTCGAAGTATCTTCAAAGGCAATGGAAGGGCTTCATCCCTCAGCAAAACAGCAATTCCCATTTCTTGAGTACGCTGTCCATAGCATATTCTACCATGCAGATTTGGCAGAGCATCACCACATTTCCCAGGCAAATTTTTTGAACGAATTCCAGCTTAAAAGTTGGGTTCAGCTGGACAATCAGCTGGAGAAATTCAACATTCGCAAGCATCGGAAGACCGTTAGTCTGCTGTACATTTTAGCCGAACTCAACTGCGCCAACCTGATCAAGTCCCAAGGTACGTCTGGCAATGTTCTGGAGGTCACAACAGAGCGCTATGGTTGCCCTCTGTTCGCTGCGGCCGCCCTTGGAAACGACGCAGCGGTTCGAGTTCTCTCGATGGCGATTGAATCAGCATCACCCAGTACAGATACAAACTGTGAACAGCTTGAATACGATACGATAGTAGCTGTTCCTATTCAAAATGGTCATCGGAATTTTGTTTACAGTCATAAAAAAAGCTTCATGGTCAACGCAATACAGATATGTCCGGAGCACGTCATGACTCGATTGCTTGAGTCACCAATATACAACCCTGACTCATTACCTGATACTGAATCTATACTACTCGAAGCATCGCGTCGCGGCCATGAATCTGTAGTTGAGTTGTTACTTGATAAACGAAAAGACATCTCAGACTTGAAACCTTCTTTAATAGACAAGGCACTGCGTGAGGCGATGATAATCAGGAATGCGCCAATCGTCAAAATGCTTGTCCTCAAAGGAGCCGATGTTGACACACGAGATTATTACGGTAAAAACACAATTCACGTGGCCTCAGAAAAAGGGCTTGAGGGCATTGCGATGTTCCTCTTGGATAATCACTCAGATCTTCTTGACAGCAAAACCGGGTCAGGATATACCCCCCTCATGTGCGCAATTCAAAACAAGCATGGATCACTTGCTCTAGAACTAGTACGGAGAGGGGCTAACATTCACTTGACATCTAAGAGCTGTACTGACGTTCTTCGCTTGGCTTCTGCCACTGACAACAAAGAACTCATAAGGCTTCTTCTGAACCAATGCGCTGAAATGGGACCAATACCTGGACACCGATTCATCACATTGTATGACGCTTGTCTAGCAGGTCTCAAGCTTGTCGTAGAGATATTACTAGACAGAGGCGCTGATATGAACATAGAGCGTGGTTATTACGGCAGTGCACTTCAGGTAGCTTGCCATAACAACCACGAGGATATCATAAAGCTATTGCTAGAAAGAGGCGCTGATGTGAACGCGAAGGGTTCTGGATCCGGAACTGCACTTCAGACAGCTTGCTATCTAGGTTTCAAGGATACCGTAGAGCTATTGCTAGAGAGAGGCGCCGAAGTTAACGCAGAGGGTGGTCAATATGGAACTGCGCTTCAGGCAGCTTGCCGCAGTGGTTCCAAGGACATTGTAGAGATATTGATAGAGAGAGGCGCCGAAGTGAACGCGAAGGATGGTTTTTACGGCAGTACACTTGAAGCAGCCTCATTTTGGAGACATGAGGAAATTGTGGCATTGCTGGTAGCAAATGGGGCCAAACAGGACGAAACAGGACCTTGAATATATTCAAACTCTGAGTACGCTGTCGCTCTCCTTCCTTCGCAAACCTCCTCTTCCACTACTTTACCAAATCTATAGCAATAGTTACTAAAAACCAAATCTTCATTTCCCGTCTCACCTTCACCATACGAGAAACCCCTATACTCATTCTCTTTTCTTACCTTACTTCTAACCTGAAGACCAGAAAAAAAAGAATAGGGAGTGGAGATCGCAAATATCAAAACACCAACCAGTGCGCTAAACGAGATTAATCCCAGGACCTCCCATGCACCCCATAGACTTGCAGCACTACCGCTAGCATCACCAAAAATGTCCTACAAAACAAGTCACACATTACTGACATGCAAGCCTCACTTATACACACAGATATGTATACAGCACACACACACTCTCCATTACCTATAAAAGTACACAAGAATGTTATATGTACACAGCAACCACAACCACATCCACAACCTACAATCGTTATATAGCAAAAAAAAGCAAAAAAGAAAACAAATTAAAGGGTACAACATATACATAAATAGATGCCCTCAATCCTTCTCCCCGACCAAAAAGAAACGGTTGCCATAAACCTCCTTAAAAAAAAGTCTAGCGTATCAAAAAAAAAAAGGGTGATGCATAAGAAAAAAAAAGAAGAGACGTCTATACGCATAGACATGGGGAAAACCGGGAATAGAAAAACCGGAATGTGAATAGATGGTTGACGGTACATTCAGAGAAGAGGAGAAAAGATTGAGGAAGAGAGAGATAGGAAGACGAGTACATATTTACTCCACAAAGGAAGTAAAAAGAGATTAGTATATAACAAGTGGTACTTACTCACCCCATCCACCTTATACTGATATGCAAAGAGAACCCCGCCAAAAAACACTTGACGAAATAAATACAAGAACAGAGTTTTTCAAAATAAAAAACAAAACAAGAAAGAACGCCCATTTGAATATTGCCCAGCGTTGTTCTCCTTGGACTAATCCACACCACCAGCACTTTCCTCAAAACCCGTCCCGAAAAGTGAACCGAAATAAACCCCCCAGAGTGATATCATTTAGACCCTCCCCCCTCCCCCCCTTCGCCAAAAAAAAGAACAAGAGAAAAAAAGGACTTCAAACGGCCGTTAGACTATCTATAGAAAGAAATTTTGTTACATCCCTCACTAGATGACAAGAAAAAAAATCGTAGAAAGACAAAGACGGATATGAAGAAGAAGAGACAGAGAGGGCAACAGAATGCACGCGTAGAAGGAAGAAAAAAAAGCCCTCCCAGTGTTCAATGCGACCCACTCGTCACGTTAGGAAAGGCAATTTGCGGCCAGTGGACTGGGGCAGGATGATGCGATGATGTATGCTGATTATGGGAATGGTGTTGTTGCTGCTGCTGCTGCTGGTGATTATGATGATGGTGATGATGGTTTTGGACACCAGATGTTTGGACTAGGCCCTGGCCATCGCTGCTGGTGCCATGGGAGGAAGATGCATCGCGGCCAAGTGTCATGAGTGTGGTTGCAGTATTGAGGTATTCACCTGGCTGTTGCTGCTGGTTTTGATCGTGGGCATGTTGCATGTACGCTCTTGTCCATTGGGTCCACTCCTGGGCGACGTAGCCGTTGGTTGTGTAGGTAGGATGTTGATGGGCTGCATTGGCCATATGAGCGTGTGAGTAAGCATAAGCGTCTGCAGGTGCTTGCGAGATGGCGCTGGTTGACGATGCGGCTGCAGCGGCTGCGGCAAGTGCTGCAGCGTGATTTGGGTTCATGCTCGCTTCGTCCCCACTATTGTAAGTTTGCTGATCGTAACCTCGGTTTGGTTGCGAAGGGACGCTGACTTGAGTGCTGAGGTTGTACGAGTGTGCAGTGTTGATGGGCAGAGTCGTGTATGTTGCAGCATGCGACGAGAGAGTAGGATCAGTAGACCCGCTGGTTGTTGTGGCGTATTGATCCTGGTATGCGCTTTGGTCGTATACAGAAGAATTAGACTCTGAACGGACGGGAGCCTGCATGGCAACGCGGGCAAGGGACTCGGTTGCCGTTCGCTTGACGATGCTGTCATTGATCTTGCTGAGCGATTGATCCACAATTCTCGAAATGGCTAGCTTCAATCGATTTCCTGAGCCTAGGAACTTATCGCATTCGCCAAGGAGATCCACCCAGGATGCCATATCGTCTTTGAGCTTGGTCATGTCCGACGGGGTCATCTGATCTTGGCGAGTTGTTGAAATGAAGAGGGTGGTAAATGCAGCAGCAATATAGATGACTGTGTTGACCCAGGGAATATCCAGACTCTTTTTGTTCATCAGTTCGGTGCAATGGTGCAGTATTTTCTGCGCTGCATGCAAACACTGGTCGAGGTTTGAGTTGAGAATGGCTGAATCGGTTGATCTGCACACGCCGGGATGATGCAAGAGCAACATGTACGAATGATACCAGTATTGCAGATAGAGCGCGAAGATGTAATCATCATCGGCGGCCTGCGACGGATCGCGCAACTCATAAGGCATCTCGTCCTTCCACTGTCTGATACCAGCCGCGAGGCGTTTCAAGCTCTCAAAGTATGCCTTTTGCGAATACCGGATAGCATAGATCGTCTTGTACAGCTCGAGATCCCAGACCGTGTATTTTGCAATCTGAATACCCACCTGGAATGAACACTGGTGGAACGTGTCCAGATTCGCCTCCTCGCCAGGCAAACAGTCGTTCATGGGTTCTGGAAACTCGACATCAATATCTTCGTTGCTAACAGGCATTGGACGCCCTAGTTTTCCACTGAGATTGATCTGTATGGCGTGGAGCGTCCAGAAGACGCGCTTCCTCATTTCAATATCCAGTTTGGTCAGCTCACCCGTGCCGTCTTCCCAGACCTTGACGGAGCGGTGTAGGCCAAGCTGTATGGCGAACAGATAGACGGTCGAGGTCATGATCCATGCGGCGCCGGGCTTGGGAAAGGTACGTAGATGATGACAGATCATTGCCAATGCTTGGACGTCTTGCCAACCATGTTCGCCAAGGACAAGTTCCTTGAAGAAGGTCAGGGCATACTTGTAGTGGGCATGGGCACTGTCGAGCAAGGAGCTACCACCCTGGTCGCTGTTGCGAACGGCTATTTGGTACATGATGGTGGCGAGCATCATATGGACCGTTACTGTCTCGGGTCCTGTTGGGGTAAAGCTGGGGTCGTTTCCCATTCTCCAAATCTACGCTTGTCAGTAGGCATCCAGGAGCAAGGTGGAGACGGGGTGCGGAGGTACCAGTTGCATAAAGGCGGGCTTGTGGACCAGCATTGTGTATGGGTTGATGGAACGCATGTACCAGATGGCGTACTCGTTGAGTTCGTTGTAGGGCGGCAGCTGGGGTGTTTCGACAGGGTGGTTGCCCATGGCGATCTTGACGAGGGTTGAGTAGGATGTAGCTTCCTTCTCGTATTCGGTCTCGGCTGCAGTAAAGTCTGTAATGTCGATGTTGGTGCCATAGATGGAGAGCGAGGTACCCTTGATGTGGCTCAGCGGCGATTGTACAGAGGCGACACCAAGGTAGTTGTCGCCAATGGAGCCATACTTGAACTGGGGGAGCGGCTCAAGTTTGGCAGACGCGGTGGTGGCAGGGGCATAGCCAGGCAGCGGAGAGGAGCTCGTCCGGCGGGGGCGGCCATCGGACCAGGGCAATGCGTCGCTGGCAGCGGAGGAGGGCCATGGGTTCGAGGGCTGTTGCAATGCAGCGCTGTAGGCAGGCGGCAGGCGGGGCTCGACGCCGTTCTCCTTTAGCTGGGCCTGCAGGTCTGCGATTTGGGCGCGCAGGTACGAGTTCTCCGACTCCATGGCCTCTGCATGGCCGCGGATAGTGGCGCGTCCAGTGATGCGGTCGGTGGTGCGGCAGGGCGTCCTGTTCTGCTCGCAGGGCGTGCATCCCTCGGGGCGGCCATCGCAGCGAATCTTGCGGACCTTGCAGCGATCGCAGGCCTGGCCGGTCCGCTTGGAGTCGGCCAGCTTCTTCTTGACGGAGCCGGAGAAGTCGTTTGCGACATTGCTGTGGGATGAGGCGGACGAGGGAGGGGCATTGGCGGTCGCGGTGGCAGCAGCAGAAGCAGCAGTGGTGGTGGTGTTTGCCGTGGCCGTGGCGGGGGCGCGGTGCTGGGGACTCAGCGGGGCGTGGAGGTGGACGCGCTGGATCTTGCTGACGAGATTGGGGTCGTCGTCGGCAGGTCGCTTGCTCGCCATGGTTGGACGTGAACTCGGCGGAGAAAGCCGGTGGGAACGACCGATGGGTAGTCCCCAGAACGAGCCTTGTGTGGCTTGGGGCGATCACCTGTCAGACAGGCAGGCTGCACGCTCGCATAGCCGCGCGCCCACAGTCAGTCTGGCAGCACCAAAGGGCGTTGTTGCGCAGGGCGTCCGAGGGGAGAGGTGAGGGGCGAGTGAGGGCGCGTGTGTGCAATGCTTTAAGCGGGCAGCGCAGAGGGCGAGGTGAGGGTGCACTGCGGTGGGAAAGTGAATGGCCGCCGCGATGCCCTTGGTACAGTAGCCTCGGCGCCTCTTTGGTGCACACGGGCGGGCGTGCGCACAGCAACCGCCTTCGACCACGCACCGCGCCCTTACCATTGGCCACCAACACCAGCGAACATACACGGCTCGGTCGCCGTGCCCTGATGCCCTGACAGCTTCGGCCCATTTGGCTGTGCTGCTGCGCTCTCACCACGGCTGCCATGGCTGCTACTGCTCAAGCCCTGATGATTTGCTGCCGCTAGTACGCAGCGCCCCAAGTATAGCTTTCCCAAACTGGTCAGCCTGCCTACTACGGCGGAAGGGACATGGCACTGCTAACCACCATGGGCCTTGAGCCGCGAGATTACTTACTACACACTACATACTACTTACTGGCCATGTCCACTGCTCTCCCCTCCCGACAGCCCTATCCACTCTGATGCCTTGATGCCCTTCCACTCCCACTCCCACTCCCACTCCCACTCCTCTTCCCGCCCGCTCGCCTGTCATCGGTGGGGGTGCACACACACACACACACACACACACACACACACCGCATACACTGCCCCGCTACATACTACTACGTACGAAACAACCTGCGCTCCGTTCCTTTTTGAAACTTTCGGCTGCTGCCATCTACCCACCCACTCGTCTCCCCACCTCGTAGCCCAACCTCCCCACCCGTCCAGTGCCCTGCTGCACATCAACCACCGTCCATCCCCAAGCTCTCCTACGACCATGGCGTCGGTGCGCACATTTCAGCTGCCACACTATCATGCCTACCCTGTCCACGTGGCCCTGTTCAAGGATGTCGCAAACGCCTCACATCTCAGGCGTCAGCTACTAGATGCCAATCCGCATTTCGACTATGCCTTTTTGGATGCGTCAATGGTACGGCCCTGTCTCCTTGCCCTGGACTTGTCTTTTCCATCCTCTCTGCACTTGAACTATACCTACCTATTCTAGTGTTGGAAAAAAGGAAGAAAAAAAGGGGAAAACAAAATGAACGCCCAGGCAAGACGGAAAAAAAAGTCACACACACACACACACTGCACTGGCTCAGCCCATTTGTCGCGTGCGCCTGCCATTTGCACTTTCTCTCCGCGGATGCTCTTGCCTCGTCTATTCCCCTTTCTCCCCTTCACGTGGCTTGGTGACATTCCAGCCTGCACTAATCTGGATGGCCGGTAATGGTTCGGGCCTCGATACCCCTGCTGCACAACCACAGCCAACGCCTGGATCACCAAACGGTGTCGTTGACCAGCATCCTCCTGGTGTTGCTTCAACGTCACTCCACCGATTGCCTACTGCAGAACGGGCCACAGCACTCCGCGCCTATTACGACCATCCCATCTTGTGCCAATGTCAACATAATCTTGCTTCCATTGAGTCTAATCATCTTTTGCTGCCTACCTACTACTTGCGCCGTTTAGACCACTGACTTTTGACTAAAATAGATCGTCTCGCCCCAGCACCTCCTCTCCGCCACCTTTATTGCTCTCCACAACTTCTTGACCTCGCGCTCAAAGACGCGCACTCCCCACTCGGAGCTCGTCTTTCGCCTCTCCCCCAACAACAACATTGGTGAATCCTACAAGAAGTTCGGCATCTCAGACTCGTCGACTGCAATCATTGCAGTCAAGTTACCCCTCTCTGCATCCGCTCCCGATGGTACCTATGTCAAGGATGAGTCCATCACAAATCAGACCGTGAGCGCCCATCTCGGCAACGTTGTGCACGGGTCCAGCATCGAGATTGCCGACAACGGTCAAGAGCTGGGCTCCTACTGTCAACTAGACAAGGTCCGCAAGGTCTACAAGCTGGCTAGTGCTGACCGTGCCTCTCGAAGCAACACCACCACCAAACAAGCCAACGGGGATAATCACGGAAATGACTCTCAAGACGAAAAAGCCTACATCGAGAGTCTAGTCCTAGGAGCCATGGCTCTCAAAGGATCCTGAACCGCTCAACCACTCGCTCCCTCGTCTCAGTCCCGCATATGACGGCTTACAGTCCGTGAACTGCTGACTGGCCTGCTGATCCTTTGTTGCAACGCACAACTATACAATTATAGAAACATACAACAACACATCACTTCACACTAGTGCATACGTTGAAACTTTAATAGTACTTCTCTCTCTGTCTCTGCGTGGCTCCCTCTAAACCCCCGTCCTATGCTACAGATTTCTCAGTCTTATAGATACACCCTGCACATGGGGAAAAAATGCGTCAGCTACATTTATAGCTCATGGTACTCGGGCTTGATGAAGTCGGCCATGGTCTTGGGCCTCGGGTATGGGTTCTCGTGGTGGTCGTGGTGGTCGTGGTGACCGTGAGCATCCTCTGCCGGGCCCACATAATGCATCTCGTACACGGAGCCGCACTCCATGCAACGTGACTTGGGCTCCTCGCGGGTGAGGGTGATCCACAGAACGTTGTGCGAGTCGGCGGGGCATCCGGTGCAACCAACATATTGCTCATCACCCGCAGAGTTGACAGTGATTGGGTTCTCCATGGTGCCTGTACTCAGTCAGCATCAATGCCACTCTCATTTAGGTACTTGCGTCTGCCTGCTGCTGCTGCTGCTGCTACTGCTCCACATTTGACCTTGTTTGTTTCATCACGTACCGACACGGCTGGCATCCAATGGTCTCATGTCGAAGATGTCGATACCCTGCATCTTTCCGAGAATCTCGAGACGCTCCAGACCGGTAGATTGTTCCGCGTCCGTAGGCACGGTACCAGGCTTAGCACCCGGGGGGAGGAGGTCCGCTTCTGACTTGATTTCTAAACGCCCAGTGCTCTCGTCAGCTATCGACACTTTTCCCACGCGGCATCTGCAACACTGCGGTTGCCCAAGTGCGGGCGCGACATACCGTCGAGCTTCTTGAAGCCCTCGAGGACGCTGGGCGAATTGGCCGAGTGGCCAGTCTCCTTTTGCGCAACCTTGCTGTCGTCGCCTACAATGGTGTCAATGCTACATCGTACGATAGCTGGTAGACCCAAAACCTACGGCGGACAAAGGAAGTCGTGAAAGTGCGCTGGGCGAGCGCGCGGGGGGCCGCCCGCCTTGCCGCGGCCATGGCAGAGCGTTGGAGAAACATGGCGAGAGCGATTGGGGTTGAGTGGAGAGGGTGGGCGTGGCTATCGAGCTTGCGAGTTCGTGATCGTGGGATTGCGTTCCGTCACGAGAGAAGCTTGGCTTTGCGCACTGCTTAGGTAAGGCCCAATCCGTCAAGCCACAGCAACTGAGCAGAGCCATCGACCCCGTTGCAGTTCCTTCCCTTTGCAAATCATTCAACCATCAATGGCTCGTTTTCCAGCTGCACATAATAATACAATAGTTTGCAGCACAATGCGCTATGCTGATTTGATCTTCTATACTAAAAAACACACCTTTTGACATAGCCTTTTGCCGTGCTGTCCTCCATCTACGCTTTGCATCATCTCGACGAACCATTGTGATCTCACCCCACTACTAGATTCTATCCCAATACTAACAATGTCGTTCAAACCCGCGCTAATCATCGTCGACTTACAGGAAGACTTTTGCCCGCCAGTAAGTCGTCCAACCCGCTTGTTGACCGTTGCTCACAGATCAGAACGGAGCGCTGGCAGTGGCAGGAGGCCGCGACATAGTACCGGTGATCAACGAATGTCTCGACTACCCCTTCGCCTTGAAAGTGGCAACCAAAGACTTCCATCCGCAAGACCACATTTCCTTTGCCTCAAATCACCCAGCGCCGAAGAACAAGCCGTTTGAATCTACAGTTACAATCGTGAACCCGCACAACCCGGAAGAAAAGCAGGAGACGCGGTTATGGCCAGACCACTGTGTCCAGGGAACAAAGGGCTCCGAACTGCTGCCAGAGCTACACGTCAGCAAATTAGATCATATTGTGGAAAAAGGCCAGGACAAGCGCGTCGAGATGTATTCGGCATTTGCGGATCCCTTCAAGAGTCCGTGTGTCGTCAGGAGCAGCCTGGCAGAGACATTGCACAAGGCCGGCATCACAGACGTCTATGTCGTAGGCTTGGCAGCTGATTACTGTGTAAAACACACGGCCATTGATGCACAGAGCGAAGGCTTCAAGACATGGGTGGTTGGTGAGGCGACGAGAGCGGTGGACCCCTCAGCCATGGAGCAAGTGCACAAGGGGTATGAAGAGTACGGTGTCAAAGTGATAAGCAGGAACAATGTGCAAATGCTCAAGGTCAGGAACCTTCCCAGGAAAACCCAGGAACAAAGTGCAAAGAACGCCGACCAGGCTGGCGAGAGTGTGTTGGACTAGGATAGCCTCATCACAGTCTCTACTAATATGCCTAGGCATACTTCCACTTTTTAATTTCTCTTTCCTTTGTAGGAGAATATAAGCAGCCATGTACCAATTTTGGATACGACCTGCGTCAGCAAAATAATGCAAAGACAACCATGATTGGGAACCAGTAGCAGAGGGAGCAACTGCCGCATGGTTTTATCCATATTCCCTTCAGTCGGTTCCGCCGGAAACACACAGGGGTAGACATCCATGAAGCATCCACCAAGTCTCCACCGTTTCGCACCCGAGCGTTCCATGGAACCGCTAGAACACGCATGTGATGTACACACATCCACTGGATACGTATCAGGGCTCACTTGCACCCAAGATATGCTTCTGTATCTAGCGATGCCGCCTGCGACCTTGGACACACGGCGGACGAGACAACTGCCCCGCTGTCGGTTCAAAGAAGCCAGC